CCATTGTAATCAAATCAGCCTGATACTGGCACAAAAACTGGCATATAGAGCAGTGGAACAGAACAGAGAACCTGGACATTGACCCAAGACATGATGCTCAATTAATATTTGACAAAGGTGGCAAGAGTATACAATGGAGTAAAGACAGCTTCTTTAATAAATGGTGTTGGGAAAATTTGACAGCTACATGCAAAAAAATTAAACTAGACCACCAACTTATACCATACAGAAGAATAAACTCAAAATGGTTAAAATTCTTAAATGTGACTCATGAATCCATAAAAATCCTGGAAGAAAATGTAGCCAACAAAATTTCAGACATCACAAGCAGCAGAATTTTCACTGATACAATGCCTAAGGCAAGAGAAACAAATGAAAAAATTAACACACGGGACTACATCAAATTAAAAGGCTTCTGCACAGCAAAAGAAACGAGCATCAAAATGGAAAGGGAACCCACTATAATGGAAAGTATAACTGCCCAAAATACATCAGATAAAGGGTTAATTTCCAAAATATATAGAGCGCTCATACAACTCAACAAAAGGAAGACAAAGAACCCAATTAAAACGTAGGCAGAGGACCTGAATAGATACCTCTCCAAACATCACATACAAAGGGCCAAGAGACATACGGGAAAATGCTCAACATCACTAATCATCAGAGAGATGCAAAATAAAACAACTATGAAGTATCACCTCACACCTGCCAGAATGGCTGCCATCAACAAATCATCAAACAACAAGTTCTGGGGAGGGTGTGGAGAAAACAAAACGGGACTCTAGTACACTTCTTGTGGGTGCAGCCACTATGGAAAACAGTATGGTGTTTCCTCAAAAAATTAAAAATTGAACTGCCATTTGACCCAGTGATCCCACTGCTAGGAATATATCTTAAGAAGCCTGAAGCACCAGTCAGAAAGAATATATGCACCCCTATGTTCATAGCAGCACTATTCACAATAGCTAAGATCTGGAAACAGCCCAAGTGTTTCAATTTTTATCAATAGGTGAGTGGATAAAAAAAGCTGTGGTGTGTATACTCAATGGAGTACTATGCAACTGTAAGGAAGAAAGATCTCTTATCCTTTGAGACCACATGGAGGGACCCAGACAGTGTTATGCTAAGCAAAATAAGCCATTCAGAGAAAGACAAATATCACATGATCTCACTTATTTGTTGAATATAATGAACAAAACAAGCTGTTGAACAAAACAGACCTAGAGACATAGAAATAGGGACCAGACTGACAAACTTTAGAGGAGGTGGGGTGGAGGAAGAGGAAAACCAAAGAATTTATATGCATATATACATAACCAATGGACACAGAGAACAATACTGTGAAGGGGGCAGGCAGGAGCAGGGAGGAGGGTGTCAATTTTGGGGAAAGGAGAAACATCTGTAACAAAAATAAATTAATTGAAAAAAAAGCTGGTTACATACCAAAGAAAAATATCAATTTGTAGCCAGCAATGTTGATATAAACTATTCTGATTTGCTTCTATCTGCCCCACTGTTGCCTTTTATACACTAACTGATTTCCTAAATCTCTGCTCTCAAAGATTGTCAAGTAGCCAGTTAATTTAATAGTAAATATAAAATGCTATTCTCATATTTTCTCAGTAAAAAGTAACTTTTAATGATTTTAATGTAAATGGTTTTAATCTTACAAATTAATTAGGTCCTGTAAATAGCCTATATGATATTTGAAAGCTCTGAACTTTTGTTTGTTTATATTCTTCTGCAAGCTTAATATACTTACCAAAAATTTCCACATTCCACATCATCCATTGTTCACCTTGTCTCAAAAAAAAAAAAAGAAAAACAATGTAAATGCCAATAGCCAAAATCAACTTTTTCAGCCTCAATTTTCAAATGTGAGTTTGTTTTCATTTAACTCTAGTAAATTTATATAGTGTAATTCTACACTTCACTATGACATTTCACTACTGAAGAAAAGCAGCAGAAACTTTTCACCATCTGTGCTGTTTTTGGGAACCAGGCCCTCCCATCTGCAGTCTGGGACATGCAGTGTTGAGGGAAGACGCTGGGTTGCCTTCACAACTGAGCTCAGAACACTAACACCAGAAATTATCAGTCGTTACTCTGCAATTGAATGTTCTGGAGAATGGCCCTCTATTAATAAGGTACCAACAAAAAAATAGGTGGCTTTCTACATTCAATAAACCATAAAGGAGAATGCCAATTAGGAGGAGAGGGGAAAGAAATTGATAGAAAGACCTAGTAAAGGTCGAATCTTTACATTTTTTAATAGACCATTTTCTGCTAAATTAGCTAATATTTCTGAGCCTTTGAATTTCAAATTCCTATTAAGTTCAGTTTTCCCAAAATGGAAATGGGAAGGAAGTGTTGTTTTTCAGTAATAAAGAGGTTCTAACCAGACTTCAGTTTAAAGAAACGGTAGGGTTATAACTACAGCCTGGTTAGTATGTCTAGAATTCTTGGTGAAAATACAGAACTTGCCAAAAACCAGGGCGGGGCAGGAGCAGGAGGGGAGGGTGTCTGTCTCTTTAGAAACTGGTGCAAAATGAGGTTGCTAAACAAGAGAAAACCGAAAGAGTAAGACATAGATTCTATTATCTCAAGCAATATACAAATGTGCTATTTTTGTTTGGTGATAATGGTTTTCAACAGAAACCACCAGCTACCACCACCACCAACCACCACGACCACCCCAAAAAGGGAACTGGCTTCAAATGTGCCTTTAATTCTTCTTCTGATCCCAAACGTTCAACAACTTTGGTTCTCAAGACCTATTCATTCCTGTGAAACCTGACAAATGGCAAAAATCTTGACCTAGGGAGGGAGAAGAGGAAGGGAGGCCAGGGAGGGAGAGGGGGAAGAGGGAGAGGAGTGGGGGAAAAGCGGAGGGGAGGGGAGGGGAGCAGGGAGAGGGGGGGGGGAGAGAGAGAGAGAGAGAGAGAGAGAGAGAGAGAGAGAGAGAGAGAGTCTGGCCCGTGTAGCTCAATGGTTGAGCCTCGACCCATGCACCAACAGGTTGTCAGTTCGATTCCTGTCAGGACACATGCCCTGGTTGTGGGCCAATCCCTAGTGGGAAGCATGCAAAGATGGCCAATCGATGTTCTCTCTCATGGATGTTTCTATCTCTCTCTCTTCCTCTCACTTCCACTCTCTCTAAAATCAAGAAAGGGAAAAAATATTTTAAAAAGAGAGAGAGAGAGAGACCGAGAACACGCACTTTGCCATCCTCCAGGCTAAATGAAATCCTTGTTTCCTAGATTACAGTAATTACAGCCCCAGCATGAGTTCCATACAAGCGCTAAATAAAACAGCACATCAATTAAAAAAATAAACACTACAATTTTGGAGAAAGACAACCTCCCGGGAAGTCCTAACAAGCGTAAATGAACCAGCCAAACCGCCAGCCCCACGTTCCTCCACCACCACCCCAATTTAAGGTGGTCGTGGGCAGAGCTGGTCGGCGGCAGAGCTGGTCGGCGGCGTCCCAAGTGGCTGCTCCGCTCTTTGCAGACCACCGAGTTGTATTCGCATGTCAGCGCCAGGGCTCATGGCAGCTCCACCTCCCACCAAAGAGAAGGCAGCTCTGGCAAAAACACGTGAACTTTGTATAGATGTATATATATATTCCAAAAGTACACTGTGGAGAGTAAATCCAGCTGCAGTTTCCATTTCCAGCTGCAGTTTCCATTTTATATTTTTCTTTCTCTCTCTCTCTCTCTCTCTCTCTCTCTCTCTCTCTCTCTCTCTCTCTCTCTCTCTCTCTCCCCCCCCCCCCCTTCCGTCCTTCTTTCTTTCCTTCCTGTCTTGGAGAAAAAAATATTTTTCTTAAGAAAGCACTGGGTCCTGATGCCTTTTATATTTTATCTCATTTAATTATCAGAATCCCCTTTAAGATACGTACTATTAGCTCGCTCTCCCAGTAAGGACACTGAGGTTCGCCCAAGTCACTCGGCAGAGGCGGGAGAACCCCGGGATCGCCCCAGGGCCCTGCGCACCTCTGTCCGAGCTGTCCCCGTCCTACCTCACTATCCAAAATAAACTGCCGTCGTTCCCGTTTTTCCCACATTTCCAAGCCTTAAAGACTATCATTCTGAGAACTCCAAGTAGGGCACCTTTTCCTGGATCTCCCCCAGCTCACGGAAATCACCCACAATCGGGGAGAGTCGTAATCCGAGACTTAATTTGTTTAAAACGGGCCTAGGAGAGTGCGCGCTGCCATTAAAGCTTTGTCCCCAGTCCCCAAGTGCAAACTTGGAAATGGAACCGAAGTCCTCAGACGCACTGAGCGCCGGGGGAGGAGGAAGAGTGGGCGGCAGTCGTGGCAAAACCTCGGTCTCGCGGTCAATCCCAAGGTTACCGAAACTCTCCAGCTGCAGACACCGCGCATGACTGTGCGGACACTTGGACCGCCTTAAGGAAGGCTGGGCCTTGGGAGCGAGAAGACTCCTCCCCGCCCCCCTGTGATTGGCGTGCCGAGAAGAGGGCGGAGACCAAGTCCGCGCGGTATAAATATTCATGAGACAGCCTGAAGGCAAGCGGGGCCGCAGGGGGGAAGTTCGTGTGGGGAGCAGCTCCCGCCAAGGAGGAGGTGACCGTGGGCGCGAGCCGCGCCACTCAGGTGTCTGCTCCGCCTTCCGGTCTGGATTTGTTCTGCATGTCTAGCGAGAAAGGGTCTGCCAGCTCGTCGCCGATTGCCGGCCAGAGCGCGGAGCGGACTTTTACCGGACCAACGCCGGGGAAAGAGGAACGCGGCCTCAGTGGAGGCAGGTCCCTAACTCCGGAGGCAGCAGAGTGGCTTTGGGAACAAGCATGAACCCAGCGGGGGCTGAAACGGGGCCGTAGGGGACCGTAGTGGCTGACCCGGCGCGGGAGCGGCCTGGCCCAGCCATCTTGACTGCGCGCCGAGGCCCGAAAGGAAACTTGCTGCGCCGCCGCCCTCTGCGCCCGGCCAAGTCACCGGCGCCGGCGCCGGCGCGGCGCGGAGAAGTAGCCCAGCGCGAAAGAAAAAACGGGAGCGAAAGAGGGACGATGAGCCGGGGACCAGCCACTCTGCTCCGAAAGGGCTGAGCTCCACCAAGGCAGACCCTCAAGAACTGTAGCGCACTCCTGCAGCCACCCTCATCTCCCGGGAGCGGCAGACTGCGCTGTGTGGACGAGTCCCGAGAAAGGAATAGGTTATCGGCAGCTCCCCTCCCGAGAAACGCAGGAGAAAGACCAGCAGGGCACCCGGCTTTTCCCTTCTCCGGCTCTCTCTCTCTCTCTCTCTCTCTCTCTCTCTCTCTCTCTCTCTCTCTCTCTCTCTCTATCCTCCGGAGCCTCTCTGCGCGCTGCCTGGAGGACGAGGGCACGAAGCATGGATTGGGGTTACCTGTTGGAAGTGACCTCCTTGCTGGCCGCCTTTGCGCTGCTGCAGCGCTCCAGCGGCGCTGCTGCCGCCTCAGCCAAAGAACTGGCGTGCCAAGAGATCACCGTGCCGCTGTGCAAGGGTATCGGCTACAACTACACCTACATGCCCAACCAGTTCAACCATGATACTCAGGACGAGGCGGGCCTGGAGGTGCACCAGTTCTGGCCGCTGGTGGAAATCCAGTGTTCGCCCGACCTCAAGTTCTTCCTGTGCAGCATGTACACGCCCATCTGCCTGGAAGACTACAAGAAGCCCCTGCCTCCCTGCCGCTCTGTGTGCGAGCGCGCGAAGGCCGGATGCGCACCCCTCATGCGCCAGTACGGCTTCGCCTGGCCTGACCGCATGCGCTGCGACCGGCTGCCGGAACAGGGCAACCCCGACACGCTCTGCATGGACTACAACCGCACTGATTTCACCACGGCTGCGCCCAGCCCGCCGCGACGTCTGCCGCCGCCGCCTCCTCCTGGTGAACAGCCGTCCTCCGGCATCGGCAACGGCCGCCCGCCAGGGGCCAGACCCCCTTCCCGAGGGAGGGGCGGGGGCGGCGGGGACGCGGCGTCGCCCCCCATTCGCAGCGGAGGCGGCGGGAAGGCGCGGCCCCCTGGCGGCGGCGCGGCTCCCTGCGAGCCGGGCTGCCAGTGCCGTGCGCCAATGGTGAGCGTGGCCAGCGAGCGGCATCCGCTGTACAACCGTGTCAAGACCGGCCAGATAGCTAACTGCGCTCTGCCCTGCCACAACCCCTTCTTCAGCCAGGACGAACGGGCCTTCACCGTCTTCTGGATCGGCCTGTGGTCTGTGCTCTGCTTTGTGTCCACCTTCGCTACTGTGTCCACCTTCCTCATCGACATGGAGCGCTTCAAGTACCCGGAGCGGCCCATCATCTTCCTCTCCGCCTGCTACCTGTTCGTGTCCGTCGGCTATCTGGTACGCCTGGTGGCAGGGCATGAGAAGGTGGCGTGCAGCGGTGGCGCGCCGGGCGCCAGCGGTGCGGGCAGCGCAAGCGGAGCGGCTGCGGCGGGCGCGGCGGGTGCGGGCGCGGGCAGCCCGGGAGGGCGCGGCGACTATGAAGAGCTGGGCGGCGTGGAGCAGCATGTGCGCTATGAGACCACGGGCCCAGCCCTGTGCACCGTGGTCTTCCTGCTCGTCTACTTCTTCGGCATGGCCAGCTCTATCTGGTGGGTGATTCTATCGCTCACGTGGTTTCTGGCGGCAGGCATGAAATGGGGCAACGAGGCCATCGCCGGCTACTCGCAGTACTTCCACCTGGCCGCGTGGCTCGTGCCCAGTGTCAAGTCCATCGCCGTGCTAGCGCTCAGCTCCGTGGACGGCGACCCGGTGGCGGGCATCTGCTACGTGGGCAATCAGAGCCTCGACAACCTGCGTGGCTTCGTGCTGGCGCCGCTTGTCATCTATCTTTTCATCGGCACCATGTTCCTGCTGGCCGGCTTCGTGTCTCTCTTCCGTATCCGCTCGGTCATAAAACAGCAGGGTGGCCCCACCAAGACGCACAAGCTGGAGAAACTCATGATCCGCCTAGGCCTCTTCACCGTGCTCTACACGGTGCCTGCCGCTGTCGTGGTCGCCTGCCTCTTTTACGAGCAGCACAACCGCCCGCGCTGGGAGGCCACGCACAACTGCCCGTGCTTGCGGGACCTGCAACCGGACCAGGCGCGCCGGCCCGACTATGCTGTCTTCATGCTCAAGTACTTCATGTGTCTGGTCGTGGGCATCACCTCGGGCGTGTGGGTATGGTCAGGCAAGACGCTTGAGTCGTGGCGAGCTCTGTGCACCCGCTGCTGCTGGGCCAGCAAGGGTGCCGCGGTGGGCGGGGGTGCAGGCATGAGGGACACCGGCGGGCCGGGAGGGGGAGCTGGCGGGGGGCCGGGCGGGGGAGCGGGCTCGCTCTACAGCGACGTCAGCACAGGCTTGACGTGGCGATCTGGCACCGCCAGCTCGGTGTCTTACCCAAAGCAGATGCCATTGTCCCAAGTCTGAGCGGAGGGGAGGGAGTCCCCCGGAAGGAAGAGGGGGCTGAGGAGGCCAAACGCTGCGAAGGGACACTCGACTGGCTGAGGTTCCCAACCCTGCAACGTGTTGACTGCTATTAGCATGATAATGAACTCTTAATGGTATCCATTAGCTGAAACTTAAATGACTGGCTTAGAACAAAGTACCTGGTATTGAACGCTCCCAGACCCATCCCCCTTTCCTCCATTGATAAGCGACTAGCTCCTCCCGCAAGGTGTAAATTTCTATTGGCGGGGGGGGGGGGGGGGGGGGGGGGACACTCTCCACGGTTCCCAGAACTAAGGCTTGGAGCCCTCTTTGGTTGCCATTCGTTGAGCTTGATGCTAGATCTGCAGATTTCACCCGAGGGACCTATTTTTCTCCTACGTAAACTCTTGCTCCTCCCGCTTCGTAAAGGAGGGATGATCACGACCTAACTGGATTGCACGGTTTGGGTATTCTTAATGACCAGGCAAATGCCTTAAGTAAATAAACATGAAATGTCTTAATTATACACCCCAAGTAAATACGGGTTTCTTAAATTAGAGATGTATTTATATAATTATTTGTTAAATTGTAAAATATGTACATAGCCAGAGATATACAGTCTGTAAATTTTTTTTTAAAGTTTAGAGACCATTCCTGTAAGAACAAATATAAGTATTCTATTTTGTTAATAAAATGACTTTTTATAAATGATTTAAACATTGCCCTCTCCCCCTACCTCTTCTGAGCTGTTACCTTTAAAGTGCTTGCTAAGGACATGTTAGAAAAATGGACATTTTCTGGTTTATCTGTACACTGACCTTAGGTATAAAGAAAATGACCTGTCAACTCTGGTTCTTAAGTTGTTTGCAAAGTAAATATCACTATTGAACTGAAAACAAAACTGAGTTTTTACACCTTCCAAAGAGATGGTGTTTTTAATGGTAGCTCTTATTTGATCCATGGATAACATCGCTCACCTTAGCGTGGACTATTGCAAGAAAATAATTCCACTCAGGCCTTGTTATTTATTTTGTATAATATCACTAAAGGATTCAAAACCCCACATTTATTTCTCTCTCATGTCAATGATTTTGAAAGCACCTGGACTGAACGCACTGTTGAAGTGTAATGGTGAATATGTTTTAAACCATTGAGCACACTGTATGTATAAGTCACCTGACACTCTGGTGGTGGAGCAAGCATCCTTAATGGATTAAACTAATGGGTTAACATCATAATAACCTTCTAGGCTTATGTATATCAAATGCGCTGCTTTTCCTAGAGAAAAAAAACTATTGTTCTTCTGTCAACACTAAGCTAATTTATTTGAGCAGAAGGCTGTTGAATTAGCAGAAGAATGCTTTGGCAATTGTTGAACTTTTTACCTGTCTGCCCAGTGGCCAAGCACATCATTCCTTTAGGAGGAGTTAAATGAATAGGGTTAATCTGTAGGGAACTTGGTCTTTTGAGTTTGAAAAACTTTGATCTTTTCTCCTCTCCAAATGTGCTGTATAGTGTGAAGTTTCTTTCCCTGCTGCCTGGCTTCTCTTGGTACAGACCAATTGGCCACCGTGGAGCCTTCACATTCTTCCATTAAAGGGATGTGGGACTTTTACTTTTAAAAGGAGAGAGCGCGAGGGAGAGGAAGACTTGCAACAGTTAGTGAAGACCAGAGGCACAAGTGCTCTCAGCCCTTTAAACATCTTTTCCAGGCATTGTTAGCCAGCCTGCAGGCAGCTAGGCATGGGTTGAAGCATTATAGAAAAGGGTTCTGAATGCCCTACAGGTGGTCTGTGCACATAATCCCCCATTTAAAGCATTTTTCTTTGCTGAACAAAACTTTTTTTTTTTTTTTTTGCTCCTAATTGAACCAATGAACTACTTATAAACTACAAGTTTTTCTTAAAAACAAAAAAACTCAGCACCTAAATTTTATTGACTAAATTCTGACAAGTTTTCAGAACTAAACCTTTAAAAGCACTGGGAGTAAAGCTTCTTCGCACATTTCTCTTTTTTATATATTTTAATTTCTCATGCTTGTTATTTTCTGACAGATTAGCAATAATTTAAAAGTAATTGGTAAGGTTGTATGTTCATACTGAAAAGATAGCCCCAGGTCCCTTATTAACCTGTCAATCAAGATAGGAAATGGACAGCTACCCTGCTAATGATGGGGACATCAAACTGTGAAGTGGGGAACTTTTCTCTGCAGCCTGCTAAGATGTTTGTTCTCTTTACTTTTCCTAATAGGAATATTTAGTGGTTTTAAATATATATATTTTTTAATTAATAGGACAGAAACTACTTCCCTGGCTTATCTTAACGTTAGAGGCCTTTACGAAGTTTCTTGGTAGAAACATTTTGCAAATTCTTTAAAGAGTCAGTCTTGGTGTTAATTGGGTTGTTGAAATTAGATATGCAATAAGACACCTACTTTAGCTGCTATGCCGACTTTATTTTTCAAAGCCAGAGGCATTGTAAAATATTTACCTCCCAGCAGTTTTATTCATTAAAGAATTACGATTTTGTAACTTAGATTCTAGTAAGTGGCCTGTATCTATCCTTGTGGTGATCATGTACTATACTGTACATAAACCAGCCATAAATTTTACATTTTCAGTTATAATTAGTATTTGAGGGTATTCCATAGTCTACCACATATATGGGATGGAGAAAGAGCTGAAAGTCTCTAGTTAGCATGTGGGTTTTCTAATGTGACATTTTCATTTATAGACACATTTTCAACTATGTGACACGGTGGAAAACGTTCAGCTTTGAAGCTCTTTTTCTATATTAATTTCTTCAATACATCCTTATAAAATGCCATATTTGATAACATACAAAAAGGCTGTATGTGTGCTTAATATAAGCAAACTTAATAAACAAAAAAACCCTATCGACATTCTGGGACAGCTCTCAATAAAAAGACCCATACCTATAATCACTAGAGACTGATATTAAAACACAAGTGCCAGTTCTTTACCTTTAAAGCTAAACCTTGAGTTGCAAACTTGCCAGTACTCAGATTGTATCTATTAATGGAATAAAAAACCCAAAATTGATTTGGGGTGGAAAAAGGGAGGAAGAGTATTTAGCCATTAGACAAATGAATGGGCCCCTTGCCAGAACACCTTTCTGTGCTATACAGGTCCTTACTTACTATATGGAACAAGTGTTAATTTTTGAAAATCTTGTCAAATATGAGGTCTAGGGATGGGATATGGTTATTTTGTGATTGGATCAATGTAAATAAAGTCTAATATAGTTAAAACCATTAAAGCCAAAGCGCTTTACAATTACTATGGCAGAAGTTATATGAAACACTTTCTTTTTGCTTTATAGTAAATGCAATTTGAAAGTACCATAAAACAGAAGGAGGGAAACATGTAGAAGTTTAAGAAACAAACGGTCACCGTTACATTTAACGTGTTGGTGGCATTGCAGGTTCCCATAAAACCAGAATTTGAGGGGAGGAAATTAGATTGTCTCGCCAAAAGAGAAAAAAAATCACACAAAGAGACAAAAGCAGTTGCAGGGCACAGGATGAAATATAAAGTACAGGGGCAAACTCCATTGAGACTCTCCAAACAAATCACAAGGGCAGTGATCCACCTTCTGCATTTGATACTATACTGCCACCTTGTGGTACCACAAAGTTCCAGAACCAGGGGATGAACAGATTCATTAAAAAATACTGAGCCCCGCAGTAGAGGCCTTGTCCCACAAAGACCCCGCCCAGAGGGCCTGCAACCATTTTATATTCATAATTTTGAATTCTTTCCCTTAAGAAAGGAACCCCAAACTTCACCAGTTTAAGTCCCCACAATTTACTTCAATTGAAGTAAATCAATATTAATGGTTATACTAAAAATATATTTAAGCTGTGTTGAAATCCAGAAGTTTATCTTTTTTCAAAATTATCTTCTGAGTTACATTTTTTTTAAAGAATGGGCTGCTTCCCAAAAATCCACTATACCTTTTAATGGGAGAAGGAATGAGTTCTGAGTCAAGAATAGTCTGAGGTAGCTTGTAGTTGACTTGCCTATTTAAATGTATTACTTTAGTGGTCAATCTGCTGAGTTTAGCGGACACTTCAGTGCTGCATGTGAATGCTGTTAGGATGGATAGGATGCAGGCTGTCCCCAATATCTAGCCAGGTGTTTGTGGAAACACACCAAGGAATAGAAACTGTGCTGCAAAACAAGGTCAGCCAAAAGGAAGGAACGGGGAGCATGTGCTGTGGAATACTTGAGCTCTGTGAGAGAAAGATTTTCATAGCACAGCTGTGTAAGAAGACCAGGTCTTTAATGGGTGCATATGGAGAAGAGGCAGCCTCACAGAGCCCAGGGCTAAAGACTTAATGTTCCTGAGGGTCAGGTGGCTGGTGGAGACCAGAAGGAAAAAAGAAACCTTTGCCAAGAGAATGCAGGCTAAAGATCTTAGAGGTCACCTATCATAATTATGGAATTTTAAATGCAAAGATTCCAGGGGCCATCAGGAATCTCGCTACTCTGTAGACAAGTAGCAGAGGTAAGACCTAGCAGTGTGATGGAAATGTAGACTGTCAGGTCTTGCTCACTGAGTTAGAAGCTGTATTTGAACAAGACCCCTAAGTGTTTAGTATGCACACGTTAGCCCCATATGGAAGCTCAAAAAGTACTGGACTTGCCAAAGATCAAACAGTCAGGAGCAAGGCAGGGCCTGAAATATATGGATCCTACTTGTCACTCTTATTTCTGCCTTTCCCAGCTGCCCTGCTATCTGTGTAAATCCTGTTGGCCACCACTATGTGCATTTAATCCCTGAACATCAACTGATCCAGTTGTTCAACTGTGTCTACCTAGTCCCAGAATCACACTGGAGTATGGCTTTCCCCATGGTTGGTGCTGACCTACACAGGAACACCCGACCACACAGTGTCAGAAGCTGCCAGCAAAGTTTTGCCTGTCAGGCCCCTGGCTGACTTGAGCCAGCTCACCTGCTCTCTGCTGCTGCCTACATTTGCCATAATACAATCATTGGTATAGTGAACATTTTCTTAACTGGTACAAAAGTCCCAAGAACAGAGTCTGTCTACTAGCTTAGTGAGGAGCTGCAGTGACCTGGAAGGATAAAAGGACTCTGTTGCTGATAGCTAGAGTTAATACTAGGGAAAGAAGTCAAGAGCAGAATCATCTGCCCTGGTCAGCAGAGGCCTAGGGGCCCTTCTGGGAGAGCCTGACCAGAACCAGGGAGGAAAGCAGGCAGCAGAGCCACTAGGCAATGAAGTTAGAACTGGGCAAGGAGAAGGAAACAGTATGCAGGACCTATGGTGTCCAAGGGGAGGAACACAGAAATCTCTGGAATGAGAGAACAAACCAAAAAAGAGATGAGCTCTGCTGATTTAAACCACACACCCTGGGAGATCCTAAGGAAATGAGTTGTACCTGAAAAGGGAAAATGGCCAGAGAAGGATGGAAGTACAGGAGAACTGGCCAGGGCAAGAGCAAAATTAGGATAAATTTGAATACCAAATTTTAATGACTCTACAAGCCTTGAGGAGAATCATTATTCACAGAAGACAAAGGTGCCTTTTTATAGCAACTTAAACACTTAGCCATACATCATACATTAAGTTAGAAAAAAGAATTTCCAACGTTTATCCCTAACAAATTCACTTCTAATTAACTAACACCCTGGAAATAGTTCTCACCCCTGCCTACACATAAGCACTTGAGATGCTTCTTAAAACTAGTGATTCCCTGGCAGCACCCAGACCAACTGAATCAGAATTTCTGGGGATGGAATCTGAGAATTCAAAATTTTCTAGAGCTACCCCAGGTGATTCTCACATATAGCCACAGTTGAAAACCAGTGCATGCCATTCGTGGAAAGTGGTGTTATGATGTAAAATGAAACAACCAAATATAAATAAAAATTAAGCAAACTAAGTATTGTATCCAGCTTGACTAATTTAAATAAAAGTGATTTTTTTTTTTTTTTTTTTTTTTTTTTTTTTTTTTGGTCACCTTGAGTAAATAAATACTTGGCAGAGGACAGGAGTGCCCTCATCTGGTCCAAA